CCATGAGCAGTCTGAAACTGGAACTTCTTGCACTTAAGTGGAGTGTGACTGAAAAATTTCGAGATTACTTACTTGGAAATAAATTTGTCGTGTTCACAGACAATATCCCCTTAAAGTATTTGTCATCAGCAAACTCGGAGCATACGAACAAAAGTGGGCGTCACAGTTAGCAGACTTCGACTTTGAAATCAAATATCGTCCCGGTAAACAGAACACCAACGCTGATGTTTTATCCCGACTTTCATCGGACACTGATATTTTGAATCATTGTATCGAGGGAACCAGCATTCCAACCGATATAAAGGCCGCTCAATCGTCTGTGATATATATTGAGTCAGCAGATGTTTCATATTCTGATACGTTCCCTAGTTATACAAGAGATGATCTTCAGGATTTACAATCAAAAGACCCTGTGATTGGAAAGTGCAGAGAATTCCTTGTGTCAAAAACTGTCCCAAAACCAAGTTTTGTGCGCAAACAAAGTAAAAAAGTTTCTTTTACGCCAATTCAAAAACTTGGAAATTTGTGATGGTGTCATTCATAGACGGATTAGTGACCCGAAGCTTGGTGACCTGAATCAAATCGTTCTTCCTTTGTGTCTCAAGGACATTGTACTGCAGAGTTTACACGACGAGAATGGACATCAGGGAATCGAGCGAACTTTCAACATCATCAGACAAAGATGCTACTGGCCGCAAATGTACAACGACATCAAGAACTATTGTCAGAAATGTGACCGTTGCACAGTTTCAAAAATACCACCACCAACAGTACACACTAACATGGGACATTTAAGTGCATCAGAGCCATTGGAATGTGTTGCTATAGACTTTTCCATCTTAGAAAAATCTCTGGGATACCAGAATGTATTAGTGTTAATAGATGTATTTAGTAAATGGACCATCGCAATTCCAACAAGGGATCAAACAGCACAGACTGTGGCCAAAGTGTTAGTAAAAGTATATTTTGTATATTTGGAGTATGTAAGCGGATTCATTCCGATCAAGGAAAGTGCTTTGAAGCAGAAATAATACAACAACTGTGTTCCCTGTATAACATCAAGAAATCAAGAACAACAGCTTATCACCCCCAAGGCAACGGCCAGTGTGAGCGTTTTAACAGAACTCTACATGACCTACTCCGCTCGTTACCGCCAGCTAGGAAACGGAAGTGGCAAGAATACATAAAAGAGTTAGTGTTTTCTTACAATGTCACACCAAACGCATCGACTGGGTACTCTCCTTATTACTTGATGTATGGTCGTCAACCACATCTTCCAATAGATTTCCTTTTAGGCCGAAGCACCAAACCGTCAGGTGAAATCAACATCGACAGATGGGTAGAATTACATTCAGAGATGATGGCATTCGCTTACAACAGAGCCAAGGAAGAACTTACCAGAAACGAAACAGCACGAAAACAGAGACACGATTTTGGCAGACGCGAAAAAGAACTCGTGGTCGGTGACAGAGTGTACGTTCGGAATCGAGGTGTGCGAGGTCGGGATAAGATCCAAGACAAATGGAAACCGGAAGTTCACATTATTTTGGATAAACCTTTATGAATCAGTGTACAGTGTAAAACCAGTGAATGGTGATATTGTGAAAAATGTGAACAGAGTAGAAATAAAACCAGTGATTAGTGAAATGTGAATATTTTCTACCTCATGTTTGAGAAACGGATTTTTTTCAGTGGAATATATAAATGCCCTTCGTGATAATTTATATTGCATATATTTTTCTTTTCATATTGATGATATTTTTGATATTTTTTTCTTATGTATTTATTATATTAATCTGAGGACAGATTAAAATTTTGCGGGGGCGTATGTGGTAGTACAGATTTAATATTTATCTCTTATGTATTTATTCGTTTTGGGATCATTCTATTAGGTAGGTCTTGTACACAAGCCAGTATATTTATAATGATTTCTCATTACAACACTATTGGTGTCCCTTAGTTTACATTGCAGAGCAACTAAAATGGTATTAAGAGAGCCGACTATTGTTTTTGTCAAAGATTTCCCCTCAATCAGAGTCATTAAAGAGAAACAACGTTAACAAATAAGATACCTTACTGTCATTTTGTATCTTCAGGTCTTTTAGAATCATTTGTCTTAAACAAATGAAGAAAAAATCAATTATCACTATCTGCGCAATTCATAATACCAAATTCAATGAGTCATTATCAGTGAAAGGTTCTAATTGATATGTACTCTTTCGGTCGATTGAAATATTGCCTCAAAATATTGAACAGTTCAACAGGTTGATAAAAATACTTATGATTTTTTTTTACTACTTATTTATAAATGTATGCATTTGTTCCAGAACTTGAACATCTTGCAGACTAGTAATGCCACAGAATGAAATTTAATTTTATTTCTCCTTGAATTACATTTTATTTATCATAACACCTTAATGAACGTCTGTTGAGAGATTTAAAACATTACTGACATATCAATTGCAATGATATTTTCTAAAATATTTACTGTTTCATAATAATTTTGCAAAATATTCAGAATTAAAAAAAATATTACACATGTTCTTTATTTATCTTTTGAGAAAAAACCTTGATTATTAGAATCATATGAGACCATGCAGATGGAAAATAGATATTAAGTGGATCATCTATGTAGGGGGTTATAGACGACTAATGTACTTGCATTCCTCAATAAATAATTTATTTATCATCGCTTTCTAAATATCTTGTCTTTATTTCCAAATTGTATTAGTATTTTCGTATTGATAAGAGACAGATTATTATTAGATTTATACATGAACACAACATCTGGTGCGATGATATTTTTTTTAATCAAAAGGCTCATGGTTAAGTCGTATACTTCTGTCTACAATTCCAAAGAAGAATACATCAAAGGCTTTTTTCGAGATTTTTAACAATTTTGACTTTTTTGGCTTAGAAAAAGAAGTTATTTATTCTGCTTTATAATGTATGCTAATTATGAAATGGTATCCTAATGAAACATGAACACTATCACGTGTGGGTTTTCCCTTTTTAAAGCTTCTGATTTGATCAGTGACTGACTGCTCATGAAAGATGCAATGTCAATGTGACTATTTGGGATTCCTCCGCATGCAAAGTACACCACTATTGTTATTATGCTGACTGTTGTATAAAAACGATTTGCAATGTTTCATCACCTCTTACATTCATGTTATAGTACACCCCTATTATGACGTCACATTGTGCTACATGTACGTCATACATGTACGTCTTTGTTCTTTAATTTTGAATGTTCCATGTACATATAAAATACATGGTTACTGTCTTGAAATATAAGCGATATTTGGGCGAGGGTAAGAAAACGTGATAGAGGGCGAGGCTTGCCGAGCCCTCTATCACGTTTTCGACCCGAGCCCAAATATCGCTTATATGTCAAGACAGTCTCCATGTATTTTGTTTATCCTGCAACACATTTTTACATGACCTCCAAAACGAGCTGTTTTCAACCGATTTAGGTACTTCTCTGCAGTTGAAACTAAGACGCCATGGCGTAAACATTGCAATATTCATGACGTCACAATGCTTTTAGAACGTTGGAATACGTGCACGAGGCTTTATTAGGGCATTGACCGAATAAAGCTTTGGTTTATTAGGTTACCTTTATTAGGTCAATACAAGGGGTAGTTGCAGGATAAAATGCTATAGATAACGGCGTCTGTGGCGTAATCGGTAGCTCGTCGGACTGACAATCTCGGAGTCGTGAGATCGATCTCCGGCGTGGGCGCTGTCGGATTTTCTTCAGAAAAAAAAAGCCGTGCACTATTTCAGCATAGTATGCTTACGCAATTTAAATCCTTAGAACACTATGCGAAAATAGTTGGGTATTGATTATATAGAGACAAACTGACAGGAAGCATAACAATTCGCAATAATGCATTTGTTTATGAATTGGTCGTATTTATTGTGTCAGACATATGCATGTCATAAAAGTGTTTTAAGACGGTATGTTCATTATAAAATTCGATTATGGGTATATGCAAAGTATAGTATGTGTTTGCATAAGAGCCATTAGTGCTTGTGACATGTAGCAGAACTTGACCTTTTTGGAAATTTGAAAGGTTCATTCCACCTATCATAATACTGTAAAGCAACTTTTATTCGCGTGCAAGAAATATTCGCGAGTTTCGCGACCAACAACTTTAACTCGCCAACAATTTATTTTGCTTTGTATTTGTAGAAAATGTTTTTCAGCCGCGAAAATTTAATCGTCGCAGATCGATTTTAAACTGACAAAACGCGAATAAAAGATGACGCGAATAATAGTTGGTTTACAGTAATTTGTTCTTTGTGAGGTCACCCTTAGAGTCTTGTCCATTTCCAATTCAATGCAATTTGAAGCCACCCTGAGAGCTAGTTCATTCCACCGTGGACTATACCTTGTGATATGACACCCTAAGTGCCGTGTCCATCTTTCAACTGTGGAGCATACCTTGACAGGCGACCTGAGCTACCTTGATTGTCTTCAGTCTGTGGACTGGACACAGCCGGCGGTGGACACTATGTCAAGGACGAACGACCAAAGAACATAGGATTCAATTTGTATATTTTAGACATGAATAACAAATGCCTGTGCCCGCGTGGCTCAGTGGTAGAGCGTCTACTCTAGATGAGCGGAGTAAGGAGTTGATCCTTACGTCGCGGGTTGGAATCCCACTGTGGGACGTGGAGACCGGTCCTTCGGATGGGACCGTATAAACCGAGGTCCCGTGTCGCAGTAGGTGCTGGCACGAAAAAGATCCCTCACTGCTCAATGGCCCTGAGTGCCGAGCATAGGTCAAAATTTGCAGCTGTACACCGGCAAGTAGTGGCATCTCCATATGAGTGAAAAATTCTCGAGAGGGACGTTAAACAACAAACAAACAAACAAACAAAACAAATGTCTAAAATGTGTAAACTAATACGTTGGTTTTGTTTAATATAAAACAAAGAAAAATTCGATAATATGACACAGATACGCAAGAAATTATGACATGACACTACTTCTTTATTCAATCAAAAAACCAGAAAAAGCCGACCTTCCAAATTCATTACTTTTAATTGCACCTTGACCTGGAGAAGTGGAGTGTGTGCGCACGAAGACGACGTCACCCTGGGCAACTGCTGCTACCACGTGACCAGTAACGGTGTTATATCCGCAGAAGGCGTAAGTACTTCCCATAATTTTTGCATTGATGACGAGATCTGTAGTGTGTGCAAGATGACATTCTACTCGTGTAGACCACGTAAAGGAATAAAGCCCATCTCGAGGAACAATGAATACACCGGTATCTTTATTGTATCCATTTCCTAAATTCGTCTGTGTCACGTCGTAAACCAGAGTGTGATGACCTCGAGGGTCGGGCTCGTCTCTTGACATGTAGGCATAGAAACCAATTCCTTCTATGACCAAACCTATTTGAAAAATAATATCATTTGCACTTAAAATGACTTTTCAACAACATCTCTTAATGATTAAATCGATATTGATTCATGTATAGTAGATTCTTTATTTAAAGCAAGTACTGTACATAGCAGAATGGCTCATAAATGATAGGAACACGTATTACGCTATCGCACCATCGAGCATTGACAAAAGGGACGATGACTGGGTAATGCAATGGTACGATGAAGATGACCCAACGGTGCGATAGCACGATGACAGTGATGCGTTGGCGCCATCGCGTCATCGCTATCGTGTCATCGCCTCTTCGCACTATCATCCAATTGTTTCAACATTTCCCTATCGCTTCATCGTCATCGCACTATTACGGAATCCGGATAGGGCCATATAATTTACTATCGCACCATTGTACCATCGAGGTTTGAGTCGATAGTGCGATGACGCGATAATGCAATAACGATAAAGCAAAAGTGCGATAACGATGAAGCAATGGTGCGAAAGCGCGATGACAATGATGCGATGGCGCGACAATGCGATGACGATGAAGCAATGTTCACTCTCGCTTCATCGTGCTATCGCACCATCGTTATCGTATTGTCGAGCTATCGCATCATCGTCATCGCGTTATCGCTTCATCGTCATCGCGCCGTCGCATTATCGCGCCATAGACCTTTTAATCGATGCTTGATGGTGCGATTGTGAACTACGCGGCCCTATCCGGATTCCATACACTATCGCTGCATTGTCATCGCACTATGGCGTCATTGTGCAATCGACCCGACCCTAACTAACAATCCATAAAAAACATCAAAATGAAGTGATTTGCGATTTTAAACTGTAGGAGATAATTAAACCACATCAAAGCTTACTTTAACAAGCGTTTTTGTCGTTAGTTAAATCCCACATTGCAATTTTCAAACAAGTCACTGATCGCACTGCAATTGTCGATATGACGTCATTCTGTAAAACTTGACGCAGTTTGAATGCAGTGAGATGCGGATCAAGTAATATTTTCACAACGAGGAAATGTATTTTATACTCAGATAAAATATAATTTGCAGATTTTAAGAGGCCATTAATTTGGATGCAATGTCCTTATAATGATTTTGTTCATATTTTCCGTACATTTCCATATTAACGGATACTGCCATATATTTATACGCAGGTTCATTGGGGGATAATCTAAGCGTCTTAATAAATCGATCTAGTGCAAGGACATATCCTCAAAGGATCATGACAAGTTTTTAATCATAAACTCTAGAAGTATTAAGCTATTTGAAAAATGATTCGATCCTGTTGAAATCTTGAAACTGAAACTGAATTAATTATTTCTATATTTAATGAAGATGACCAGACAAAAAATTTAGTATGCGTTCATACAAATATGATTTTAATAATGAAATAGTAGAATCTATATGGGATCGCAGCACTTTTCACAAACTGTAATGGGTGTTGAAACTATTTAAAAATTAAACTTTGAATTTTAACTTGGTTATACCCTTGCACTATTGAAATTTATAGGTGACCTCAATACTGCAAGTATATGTGCTAAAAACCACGTGACAAGTCTAAAGAGAAAATCTAATCGTCCTCAATATATAGTTAATAACCATTACATTTGTCCGATATTAGTAAAGTACTTAAAAAGAATTGCCATCCTAAAAAAGAATATATTTTGTATCATAAAAAATCGCTGATATTTCCATTGCGCACCTTAACTGTACTTCGAACCTTGATAATCCGATTGTACGATAGATGACCCTATCAAGATTCCTTACATACATAACCATTAACACAAAGCATGAATTCGCAAGTTGACTGTTTATCGAGATTTTTTCCTTTTTTAAATATGTTTTAGAATAAACGTTAGTATCTTTATTTCGCAAGTGGTGAATAAGGATTATATCGGAATACATTGACACTGATATATTTATGTAAGATTAGAATAGCAATATTTTCAATAGTCAATACAAGAAAAATATCTTTTGTGGAAAAATCAAAATACTCACCTTGGTGAAGCAACCTCTTGTCTTTTTCGGCACCTCGATAAGAATTTTCAAGAATAAGACTATTAACTCTATTTGATAATCTTGAATTTTCAAATTTTAACAAGGAAACAGTTTCCTTCAAGTATACGTTTTCCCGTTCATGTTTCCTGGCACTTTCCTCTAATTTCCCCAATCTTGTTTCTAAATTAATCGGAGAAGAGAAAGATACGTATATCCACGACAAAAAGAGAAAGAATTCTTTCATGTTCCAAGTACTTCTGATCAAAGATAGATTTAATCTATAATTCCTTGTCAAAATGTCCTAAATTGCACGCACACACTGATAAAAATAAGTTGTCAAGGAGCAATGTAGGTGACACATTGTTGGACATTCTTTTCATATTCGAATTCAGAGTTAATATTTATGAATCATTAATATAGAAAAAAAAACGTGGAAAAGAACATATTTTTAATGTTAAATGCACAAAGTCTACTTCTTACGGAATTAAATCTCAAGAAACAAAGGGTTTTTAAGCCATAGATTTAGGAAGACTTTTAGAAAATCTTAGAATATACACTTTATAAAGTCCGAGATCAGAAAGTCATCGGATGAATACAAAACTAGTCCTTTGGTTGATCATATACTTTAATAATTGTAAAGCTATCATAAAAGAACAAAAAAGTATTTTTGCCCGCATACTTGAATAAAGAAACACCATTATGATATATGAAGATAATGAACAGTATTCAATCCCGAAAATCCAATGAACGATACAAATTTGGAGCAGAGCAAACACGGGCCTCAAAATTTAGAGGTGGGATCAGGTGCCATAGAGGAGTGAGCATCCCCTGCTGACCGGTCACACCCGCCTGTACTCCTTGTCAAGATCGGGAAACAAACACCGGAAAAAATACATAGACAGTTCAGTGTATAAATAATGGCCTAACAATCAGTATGAAAAACGCCAGTCAGCATTTGACTCAATGATAGATTGTATGTGCTGACAGGGTCATTGTATCGACCATAGAACTTACGAAATGATGACTTCAAACGAGGCTGTTGAAATTCTTGTTTCATCAACTTGTTTGTCAATAGCTTGCCTCGTTTTAGAAATTGTTCATACGTAGAGCATGCTCTTGCGTATCGAATTAACCCCATATGCAGGTGAAAAGGGTATATTGCCACATAAGTAAGGGAAGTTGACGATTGAAAAGTTAAAGTCATCACGTTTATCATAAAGCTTTGTTATTAGGTTACCATTAACGTCCTTTTCTAGTAAAATATCTAAATATGAAACAGATGGTATCAGAATCTGTGGTATCTTTTATTTCAAGCTCACTTGGATATATTGAGTCGACATATGAATAAAAGTAACTATTGTTAATTGATAATACGTCGTCGATATATCGAAATGTCGAGTTGAAGACCACAGCAAGTGTTTTCTTCCTCTCATGTAGATTTTCTTGAATAAATTCTGCTTCATACGAATACAAAAATAGGTCTGCTAATAAGGGGGCGCAATTGGTACTCATGGGAATTTCAACAGATAGTTGGAAGACCTGATCTCCAAAAACTACATAGATATTGTCAATCAGAAACTCAAACATCTTTTTAATATCAACTTCAGAGTACTTGTGTGTACAATCAGAGTGCTTTTTAACAAAATAATTTTGTAAATGACCAATGACAAGGTACGTATATTTACATGTACGAGTTCCATTTTTTATTGAAAAAAGCAGCTGTCTATGATGTCAAAAAGCCTGGACTTCAATTTATCGTGGGGAGTGGTTGTATAAAGTGTTGAAAAGTCGTACTTTTGGATGATATTGATTTTAGTAAAATTTTGTTATTTCAAATTTTCAAAAGTTCTTCGGAGTTTTTTAAGTATCCACATCTGACGGTCGCACCGTCTACATATTAATTTTGTTGACATGCAAGTTACCAATCTTTTTAGAGAATCTAATTTTAATGTTGGTAAACTTACTTAATAACGCCGGAATACGACATCATACAAGCAAGACGCAACAGAATTTTGTTGACATGCGACTTACACTAGTGTATTAATGTCAACATGCAAGATAATAATGTTAACATGCAACTTTTTTTGTCAACATGCGACTTATCTATGTCAACATGCGACTTATTTATGTCAACATGCAACTTATTTATATCAACATGCGAATTATATTTTAATATACAAGATATTTATGTCAACATGCAAGATAAAACGTTGCATGTCAACATACATACATGTATCTCGCATGTTGACATAATTAACTCGCATGTTAACATAAGTATATTTTGAATGTTAACATAAATAAGTCGCATGTCCACCTAATTCTGTTACATCTTGCTTGTATGATGTCATATAATGGCATAAGTAAGAAAGTTAATCAACATTAAAATTAGATTCTCTAGAGAGATTGGTAACTTGCACGTCAACATAATTATTTTGCATGCTGACATAAATAAGTCGCATGTCTACATAATTGTGTTGCATGATAACATAATTTATCTTGCATGTAGGGGGCAGAAATATGCCATCATATTTGATAGTTACGTTCATTACATTTTCAACAGTGAAAAACTGTAATTTATTAATTGAATAAAAGCGATATTTTGTCCCAGTGTGAAAGAATATCAGAAGCGCGAGAAAACTCGAGATTTTTCTTCTCTTCAAGAAGAGTGTAGGAAAACAAAAACCCTGGCCTGTTACAAGATAGAGAGAGTATATGAACCATCAAGACAGAGACTTAAACTGCCAAAGTTTTTCCAAATAATTTTCTCTCAACTATGACATAAGCCTTTGACAATGTGTTACAAAAAGACAGGAAATCGAAAATTCAAAGAAATTTAATAAACATAAAAATCAATAATTTATCATTGAATATGGAATTTATTTCACTCGTGAAACAGGATTTTCTAATATTTTCACTGATGCTTCGCACTCGTAAAAAAATATATATAAAAAACCCGTTCCATTCGTGGAATAAATTCCATATCGAACTTCAAAACATTGATATCCTCTATGTATTTTCTATTGGATTTCATTAACTACTGATTATATGAAATGAAAGTTACTATATTTTTTGTGTATGTTAATTCATATGGATTTTGTTTTGAAAGACATGATTATTGAAATATTGTTTTCAATTTTCATTTAATCTGAACAAGAAAAACTGCAATATTTACACACCCGCAGAAGATTTTTATTATGCAGGTATCATCTATCCTCCACATGTCAGTTTAACTGTTCCTTTTCTTTTCAACTTTAACTATTTAACTGATAAACATTGTCAGTGTTATTGCAGAGGAATTGTTGTGTTTAAAATATGTGAAACAGAAAGTACCTAAGGATCTAAGGATTTTTTTAATTTGACTTTTGAGCAGTTGAGATAAAAAATTGGAGAAATAATCCAGTGCCAAGCGCATAATTTTTTGAACAGATTTTTGTATGGGTGGCACTTTGGTCGTCTATCTCATTTTTTGACTAGGAAGCTAAAAAAACCAGCTACCTTACGGTTACATAAAAGTGGGGGGAACAGGTCTACATGAAAATTTACAAACATGAATCAAACTTCAGCAAAATCTACAGAAAAAGTACAACTCTCTCCCCCCCCCCCAAAAAAAAATCGGGTCTGAGATGTTAATATAATGGATGAATGTAGAATTTATTAAACGCAACTCAATGCTAAAGATGCTAACATCGTGTTCTAAATAAATATATATTGCAAGGAAAAATATTTCCATTATGCATTAGTTTATTGCTTTAAAAATCTTGATCGGTATTTCACTGGACAAAAAGTTATTGCCACCATACCATTCGTATATACCTGGTGGAGTTTTTAATATTTAGTGTCAACGTCTTGCTCGTTTATACCATATCACTGTAGTTGAAAGTAAAAAAAAAATAATTAAGTCAAAAACGCAATATCCGTATAAATAATTGATGTAACATTTTGTATTGCTTCAAGGAATGCTCAAAAATGACTATAAACTTTAAAAACTATTATTCTTTTCATGTAAGTTTGAACAATTTCATATTATTAACGTTTAGTTACATAAACCAATTGTCGCATTTTCACAAAAATAAAAAGTCGCATGTGTCAACGTTGTACAGAAACCAGTTGTAGCACCTACAAAATGATTTTGCTAGTTATTGGCAAATTCCATGGAAATTATTCATTTAAAGCACATTATTTGTGTCCATAGTTTTGAATAACGTTTAATTAAAGTTAAGTTTATCCACTTAGCTGTCCAATATGTAGTCCTATATGTATCATTCGAATGTGAGTACATGAAAACACGATGTAAACAGCCATTTATATGTAATGTTTAGCTATTGAGCACTTTACGGGTATGAAAGCAGTCCAATCGCTTAACTATTTATTACATTTGCCTTCTGAAAAGTGATTTTTATTGTGTTATTTCAAAAATTATAAAATTGACTAGACAATTTACAGGTGCCAATAGTAGCGAGTGTCCAAAACCAAGATTTTCTCGATTCGCACTTTACCAACAGTAGATCTTGATCACTTTAAGCCTTCTTTTTAAAATATATATATGTTGGCTTGTTGTCTTGTTATCTTTATATGTAAAAGTGTACACTAGACAAAATTGCTAACGCACCACTTGTTATTATTATTTCTGAATTGAACATTTGCCTGATCGGTAATAGTATATATAATATGCCATCTTTTCCAAAACAATGGGTTTGACAATTGTCTTGGTATCATGACAAGACCCTTAAATGACCATCTTGCCCGAAAACCAATTTTCCGACGTGCACTGCACTGTTTTTGCCCAGATATGAAATTGGCGATCACCAAAGGTGGTCCGTGAGGTTGCCACGGAAGCAGTCTCCCAGTTAAAAATCAAATAACATACAGTTATTGACTATCATATCGCCTAGTAGTCATCCAGTGCCTTGGTGTCCATACCATATCCACCCAACTTCCGGTTGACCCAATTTTGTGGTACAATTTTCAAATTATTGTGTGCTGCTTACTTTATGCCGTGGCTATCCATTGTAAACATTTTTTTATGTTTGTTAATCTTTTTGCAACAATTTCTCATTAGAGGAATTCATAATCTTTTAATTGTTTCCATTTTTTATTTTTTATTTTTGATAAATTCCACCAAAGGAACGACTTGTAGCCACCATACTGTCTGCTTTAGCACGCTCTTCTAGGGTCAAACGCCACATACGGTATAACTTTTTTCTGAGTTTTTAATTAGTACAAATATAAAGAACACAAATATTA